ACTGGTTCTGGTCCGAAAAAGCTGCGATGCAGCGTTCCTCCTTTATTCCCAATCGAACATGGTTGAACAAGTGGTCACGTGCTCCTGGGTACACCAGTCACCTGGTCACCGTGCCTGCAGGGTACAACTACTGAAGTTGTCGCCTGCTGGCGTGGTGACCAGGTGATTTGGGCACCCAGGAGCACGTGACCGCTTGTTCAACCATGTTCGATTGGGAATAAAGGAGGAACGCTGCATCGCAGCCTTTTCGGACCAAAACCAGTCGACTCAGCGTCCAAAAGAGTACAACATATGGACCAATCGCGGTCATCCGTGCTTTTATAAGAACGAAATGGCGCTTTTAGTGACATTTTGCATACAAATCCCCATCTAGTAGGGCGCAGTCACCCAGTTTCGGTGGAAGTGCGCGAGTTCGATTGGGATTCAAGTAGGAAGGGAGCGTCTCAGCTTCCTCGGACCAAGACCATTCGACTCAGCACCCAGAAGACTACAACTGGTGAAAATTTGGTTTTAGGGTATACTTCCCCTTTAACGAGGGTGCTGGATTAAGAAATCCTGCCCTCTGACCCGGCCCTATCCAATTGCATGCATGTATCATACGTCCAAACGCAGGGTTTTCCGTGTCGACCCCAGTATTTGGTGCACGGCTTTATATTCTCAACTTTTCTCCAGGAATATACACAGTGATAAAGTAAAACAGAGAACATGTTTACGTACTCTTGCACACACACGCACAGTCGATTTACGACTGCCGGATTATGAAATCAAACTACGTGCAGTTTGAGCGATTCGTTTCAAAAAGTCACTGCCGGAGGCGGAATTCAAGTGCCGGAATTGAACGAAAAAAATCGGTTTCGTCAGAAAGTGCGCCGGTTGGCAAGGGTTCCGGATAAACAAGTGCCGGATTAGAGAGGGACGCCTGTACCATAATTATTACTACTCCCTGGTCGGAGATTTGCCATTCACTGATTGATCTTCAGCGTCGAACTACAACTTGTAGGGGCGAATTTTGCTTCCTAATCCCCCCATTTCACGGATCGAATAATGTGCATGAAAGGACCAACATAAGTGCATGTACTTTTGTGTGGGGAAAGTCGTGGCACCCCCCTTGATCACTATCCTGGCTACGCCCCTCAACTGTAATCGCTTCAAGATTTTGATGATACGACTCGTACATGTAATAAAATTGGTCGTAGATCTACGAGTATTGGTGACAAAAATAAACGTCGATGTGAAAACCGATCATCGTACATCTTGGACTAGCTCGTACGCCAAATAAGTTCAAACTTTCGTCGAATGGTACATCAAGTTTCTACAAAACGGGTCCGGGTCACATGGCCGTAGAGTCTACACGTCGGGCGGCAGGTCGGGTTCATGACATGCACCCGGGATGCACTGAACTGCGCTACACGTTTCAGGAACAGCCGCCGCTTTGATGCGACCGTTGAAGAAGAGCGGCAAGTAGAACTAACTTGCACAGACAACAATCGCGGAGAAAAAGTTCTTGTTGGATACAGTAGAATCAGGTTGAAGGAACTGGATAGAGTTCGGAGTGCCTGCTCTCGAAGTTGCGAGGCGATTGGTAGCCGGAATGCTCCTTGGAATCCTTTTGACAGCTTCATTGTAAAAAAAAGGAGCGACGGTCCAGGTCCTCCTGAGATTTATGCTGCCTGGACTGTGGTATCGATTTTTGTCTTTTGCCGTGTGCAACCATCAAACAGCGTGTCCTTTTCGGCAGGAGGGCGGGTAAGTCCCTGTGTTTTCTGTGTTTTGTGGGTGGGTGTGCATGGTTATGTGCTGCACAGCTCTTGTATTGTCCGTGTGTATTCGTTCTCACGTTCGTGTGCTTCCACTCGACAATACCTTCGTGGTTGTGCTTTTCTGGTTTAGCTCTTCGTCCCCATGGACGGGAATAATAGAATTTTTGTAGAACTTGCAGGCGAAATAACGAGTGGAAGTTTGAGGGAAGCTTGTCAAGTCTGAGGATTACACGTAGCAGTGAAACGCATGACCGTACATTGTAGTGCTGTACATGTACTGCTCTACTGTACACGGGATACACTCACCGGGGCGTTACGCATGATCATTCCCTTCAACAGAGTTCACTGCATCCATATACAGTCCGTCACACGTGCACATTTGGACCCGGGGCCGGAAGGGGAAGGGGGGGGGGGGATCATGACCTCTTGTACCCTGCTCTGTAGTACATGTGCCAGTAGCATGACTACAGTCCATTTCAAAACTATAGACGCGTACCTAGGCAAAAACCGTTATGCCAGCATCTATACCACATAAAATCTGTGATCACTTTGTGCATAAATTTTTCCAAATTGGGCGTCTGTTATCCAATCGTTTGGAAACTATATGAGAGTAATTGTTTGAGCGATCCTGAGCAATATTCCGAAAACTATTCTCAAAAAGGTCCAGCCAAATTTGAAATATTTCAAAAACCCTACGCGTCTATAGTTTTGAAATGGACTTTAAACGTGATATCCACAAAGTGCCAAGAGCAAGGGATTTTAACTGCATGTGTTGGCCAACGTGGATAGAAGAAGTTCTGTGTATAAGCCCGTCCATGTTAAACATCTACCACATGACCAAATGGGGCAGCCGTGTTGGTTCCGACTCAAGTTTCGTACATCTGTACAATGTGCATAAGGTCTATGGAAGAAAAAATGGTTGCACATAGTGTAAAACTCCCCTAATCCGGGCAGGTTGGAACCGAGCGCTACCCGTAATCAGGAGCTGCCCGTCATTCAGAATATGCTGATGCAGGCAAGTAAACATTTTGGTGGTCAATAGCTTTTGGGGCCGGTTCGTTGTAAAGCTAATTTTGTTACTCGGAACGGTTAGGGAGTTGCCCGGATTAGGAGAGGTTTACAGTGGAGAACGACTGCTGTCTGATTGATGATTTCTCACGCATGAAACTCACACCTGAACAATTCTCAACAAAAGATCAGGCTGATATTTTTGCATGCACATGCAGTGGTAGATACCGTACTCGTGCGATTACAGTCCATTTCAAAACTATAGACGCGTACCTAGGCAAAAACCGTTATGCCAGCATCTATACCACATAAAATCTGTGATCACTTTGTGCATAAATTTTTCCAAATTGGGCATCTGTTATCGAATCCTTTAGAAACTATATGAGAGTAATTGTGGAGCGATCCTGAGCAATATTCCGAAAACTATTCTCAAAAAGTTCCAGCCAAATTTGAAATGTTTCAAAAACCCTACGCGTCTATAGTTTTGAAATGCACTGTAGTGCCCCTGGGGTACTATTTTTTCAATGTCTATCACAGATGGGGCACTATAGGCCTTATGCACGTTGTACAGTTGCACGAAATCCCGTAGAATCTCGTAGAATCTTGTAGAATCCCGTAGACCCGGTTCGGTTGTGTGTTATGCACACACCCAGGCTCAGCTTTTCTTTGCCTTCTTTGTTTTATGCCGGATGCCGTAAATGTACCAGCATTGAAATATCAGTGCCCTCTCTTGAATAGTGCCCTCTCTTGAATAGTGCCCTCTTGAATAGTCCTGATGCACGTTGTACAGATGTACTAAGTTATATACTAGACGTACTAAGTTATGTACTAGGGTCGTAGGTTTGTTTGTTTGTTTGTTTGTTTGTTTGTTTGTTTGTTTGTTTGTTTGTTTGTTTCTTCAAATGCACATTTACGGCATCCGGCGTAAAACAAATAAGGCAAAGAAAAGCAGAGCCTAAAGTTTACAGTTAACTATCACGACTCGACAGAAACTGCAACAAAAACTGCAATTTTATCCTGAAACCACCAGTGCAATGGCATGGACAAGAACATTAGCAAAAGAACATGCGCCGGGGGGGGGGGGGGGCACAATTCAAGATAGGGATTTATGTTTTCAGTGGCTCTTAGAGACTGGGGCACTATTCAAGATGGGGCACTATTTAAGAGAGGGCACTAATCGCGCAAGTACGGTATGCTGAAAACAATGATGACTCGTGCAATTCTTCCTTACCACATTTGAGGCAGGAAAAGGCAGGAAAGAAAGTTCTAGGAGAAGGGGGGGGGGGGGGACTAGGAATTTGGCGGGTTTCAGAAAAGTAGGACAGGTGGCAAAATTCATGGAGAAATATGTCTGAAACCCTTCTATTTTAAAATTTAATGTGAGTTTAAGCCTTAATTCGGCCAAAATCTCGATTTCGAAAGCCAGCAGTGTTTTGGATGGATGGACCATAACGGTGCGATCCAAAATCGCCGTGGAAAAGTTCAAGACTCTTCCGGAAAATTTGGCGAAATGTTCTGATATCCTCTCGGAATTTTAGAAGATTCGCCAAAGCTCTTCAAGCTATCAGAAACACGGACTGATGGTTGAAACTGGGAGATTCCCCGCATTTGAATCTGCGCATGCAGACAGACTGCTATAAAGTACTCGTGTTTCCTGTAGCTCACATGCACTTGTTTTCATTCGAGGCAACACTGAAATCGGTTCTTTTGTTCTTCCCGTTTCTTCGCCATCAAAGAGATATGTCTCCCAGACCCAGCAGGGAAACGAATGCGGCCTAAGGTTCTGCACAACAGAATTTTTCGAAACATAATTTCCGTTCTCAACATCTCAACATCTCAACCAAAATTATCGATTTTCCGGGATGCATTGGTAGCCCTATTTTGGAACAAGAAAGGCAGTTTCAGATTATGTTTCAGCCAGAAAATTAGTACTGTTGTAGACTAGTATACCTTGGTGACCTTTGTTCTTGTAAGGTCGATTCCACACTACACCAAATCCTGTCTAAAAAGCCATTTTTCAGGCACTTTTCCAGGCAAGTTGCCATGGCGATCACTTTGAGCAACGCGAAAGTGAAAAGTCCTTGTTGTCTACAAAGCAACACCAGCACCCTCTTTCAAGGCAACTTTTTACCTTTTCAGGACACTTTTCTGACTTTTCTTCAGCCTTTCGATTTTTTCCGAATTTGTTTCCTGTCGTATCTTTCAGTTGTGGTGAGTTGTGAGCTGTCAACAATGCCTAGGGTTATGTTTAGCCAGGAGCTTGAGGGCAAGCTGATCGAGCTTTGGAACGGACATTTGAGGCGACGTCCGGGCGGTACAGTTCGCAGGAACTACGCCGGAGGAGATCGCCATCAAGCTGAATTTGTTTGCTGAACAGCTCCGGGAGGAGGCAATCTATACTGCGTCGATCGTCCATTCCAAAATCGACAACATGAAAATGAAGGCGAAAAGACCATACGAGACATACACAAAGAAAACTGCCACCGGAATGCCTGTTGGCGAGGTTGACGAATATTCGACCTATGGTCTGGAATCCGCCTACACAGCGTGGCCAAATTTCAAGATTTGGCACGCGAAAATGGGTGATATTCGAGGATTTGGACCAACAAAGAGCCTCTCCACCACCGCCGTTGCTAGATCAAGCACAGGAAAGCCTCACAGTCTAACCTTCAAAGCAAAGTCCCGTGATCGACACTTGTAGGTGTGAATGCAGCTTCACTTTATAATCCACTTTATGCCTTCAAGGCAAAGCCACTTTCGGCGTAGTGTGGAATCGGCCTAACTCTTCATCTGTCACTGCCGTTCTCATGTTCTGTGTGTGTGTGTGTGTGTGTGTGTGTGTGTGTGTGTGTGTGTGTGTGTGTGTGTGTGTGTGTGTGTGTGTGTGTGTGTGTGTGTGTGTGTGTGTGTGTGTGTGTGTGTGTGTGTGTGTGTGTGTGTGTGCGTAAATTGTGTGTGTGTGAATGTGTGTGTGTGTTTTCTTGTTGACATCCGTAGCCAGTAATGGCTAACTCCTTACTGCTGCTGTCGTGTCTGGCAGCATGCGCTGCTCTAAGTTCCTCCGCTACACCTGATTGGAAAATTCTCGGTAAGTAGCAAGCCAGCGGCTAGAGACCCCCCCCCCCATGACTATAAATTAAGGCTGAGTCGGGTAGCTATTGGTTGGAGCGTAATCCGTGCAGTATGTCATTTCTGACGGCATGGTAAGCCACAAGTACGGTGAAAAGTTGCGTAACCAGTTGCGGTGGTGCAGGTCACTGAGTTTGTGCTGATTTCGAGTTTTTTTTTATACGGACAGCCAGGTGATTTTACGTTACAGCGAATGTACGGAGCGTACACAGTCACACCAAAAACAACGCTGAAATCCTACAACAGGACGTCTAAAATCATGCAAACTTGCCTGATTTCCGGGCTGTGAAACACGACAATTTTAGCTGTACGCAAGTCGCGGCTTGGCTGCCTCATCAGGGTGATGTAGTGCACGGACTGCGCTGTTTCAGATCTGATATGCACAGTTGCACACTCTGGTTTTTGTACAGTGAAACCTGGTGTAAGCAACCTCTGGGTTTAGCGACCACCTGCTCTTAACGACCGTTTTTTCCGTGCACGGACAGTTCTACACAGACACTGTGGGACCTGGTTCTAAAGACTATCAGGTTTTACTGTATTCTTGTTTGAAATGGATGGGTTGGTACACAAACCCAATCCGGCTCACATAATTATAAATCTACCAAGCTGCGCACTGGTCATTTGCCATTCCTTTGGTTATGGACTCTTGATTTCTGGTATTTGGAGTTTGGAATGTTTCGACAGAAACTGGGTTTGAGAGTCGTGTTGCAAAATTCGCCATGAGTATTATATGCGCAAGTTGTCGCATGTGGTTCTTGTCTTGTAGAGTCCGGTCTAGTTTTGTCCTTTCACAAAGTACTCTCTTTCTTAACTCTGCAGGCTCAATGTGTGTGTGTGTGTGTGTGTGTGTGTGTGTGTGTGTGTGTGTGTGTGTGTGGGTGTATGTGTGTGGGTGGGTGTATGTGTGTGCGTGTGTGTATGTGTGTGTGTGTATGTGTGTGTGTGGGTGGGTGTATGACTGTATGTGTGTGTGTGTGTGTGTGTATGTATTTATATATGTGTGTATGTATGTACCGTATTTTTCCGGTTGTAAGTCGACCTTTTACGACTAAAAATAGAAGGAGAAAGGGTGGGGGTCGACTTATAACCGGGAACTATCAGAATCTTACACAAAATGATCTGCCCTGCATGCATGAGTGCACCATGTGTACACATGTTTGCCAGTTTATTGGCCTTTTTCAAGGATTGGGACGTTATACCCTCCAATAAGGAATGTTTACATGATTTGTTGATGTGTTAGTAGCAGGGAGTGATTGGTAGTGCTTCGTTGGGTGAAAGCTTTAAAACGCAGAAATGAGACCTCGGATACGGGGGTCGACCTATAACCGGGGTCGACTTACAACCGGTAAAATACGGTATATATGTGTGTTTGTGCATGTGTGTTTGTCCATGTGTGTGTGTGCGTGTGTATGTCTGCGTATGTGTGTGTATATGTGTGTGTATGTGTGTGTGTGTGTGCATGTGTGTGTATGTCTCGGTGTGTGTGTGTGTGTGTGTATGTCTGTGTGTGCACGTGTGCACATCACTCCCCATTGTGCAGACCACGACGTTTGCAAGGCCAACGATGTCCAGTGTTACGAGGGGCAGAATTGCGTTCTCCGTGGTACCATCCACTCTTGCGTGTATCGTCATGACTATTGCTCTGCTGGACTGCACAATTGTCATTCGTCTCATGGGCGCTGCACGAACATAGTGGATTCGTTTTCTTGTACCTGTGCAAAGGGTTACGTTGGTGACGGAGTAGCATGTACCGGTTAGTCAACCCTTCTTTGGTGCCTTATACGTGCGTTGTGTGTGTGTGCGTGTGTGTGTATGTGTGTTTGTGCGTGTGTGTGTGTGTGTGTGTGTGTGTGTGTGTGTGTGTGTGTGCACCGCTGTGCGTGTGCATGTTTTCGTGTGTTGCATGACTATGTTGCATGCCCATGTTGCCTACATGTATGTATTTTGAGGTGACCTTTGAAGGTCTATATGCACGCGTTTTGCTGCTGCTCCAGGTGCATTATTTATTTATTTATATACAGCATCTCATAGCACAGTGAGAACACCGGCCAATACAAAGAGAGAGGGTGTTAGCCAACCACGGCAAGGCAGGGAGAAGGGGAGGAGAAGAAAAAGGAACCGGCATGGATAAGCAGTGATTGCAACCAAATCAGAAACACAAAATCAAAATCAAGGCGCGACAAGGCTCTTAAAAAGGCGGAGGGAAGAAAGGTCCTTAGCTTCTTGGGGAAGTGCCAGCCACGCAGAGTACGCAATAAAAAAGGGAGAGTGAAGTAGAAAGGAGGACTTAGGTTTCGGAAGGGAAAGGGAGTTTCTCGTGCTACGGGAAGAGAACCAGTTGAAACAGTGGAGGTGAGGTGGACACAGATTGAGTTTGAGAGAATGGATAAGGGTGACAAGATGTGAATTACGTCTCTTAGACAAAGGGGAAGTGTCAGCAAGGGCATAAAGGGTGGAAGATGGAAGCATGCGGGGTTTTCGGAGGAGGATTTTGAGGACTTTTTTGTGTTGAATCTCGAGCTTGGCAGCACGGGTTGTGGAAATTCCAGCCCAAGCAGTATCTGCATAATCAAAAATGGGGCGTAAGTAAGCTGAGTAAAAGAGGAGTTTACAAGAGATTGGGAGATGGTAACAGTGAGAAGAGAGAATTCCTAAAGATGAACTTGATCGTTTACATATGTAATCGATGTGGGGTTCCCATGAAAGATTAGTCAATGAAAATGCCAAGATGCTTATGGCTGGAGACTATGTCTATAGGCTGGGGGAAAGTGGGATGGAGGAGGGGCGGAACATCGGGCTGAGAAGGAAAGAGCATGATTTTAGTTTTAGACAGATTGGGCGATAACCGCCAAGACGACATCCAGGAAATAACTCTTTGAATCCCGTTAGCTAGGTTACTCATCAGGCCAGTGATGTTAGGAGATGCCCGTAGGAGCGTTGTGTCGTCTGCGAACAGTGATGTGCCCGGGGCAGCTGCGGGCAGATCATTGACGTATAAAATAAAAAGAAGGGGGCCGAGGATGGAACCCTGGGGAACTCCGGATAGTACTGTTGTGTCGGCCGAGGACGTCCCATGTACCGTGACGTACTGCGTTCGCCCAGTTAGGTAAGATGTCAGCCATAGCAGGGGATTGCCGTCTACAGTAAATGATCCACGAAGCTTGGCCAAAAGCCCCCGGTGGCAGACGGTATCGAAGGCCTTGGCAAGATCGAAAAAACAAATCCCGACTAGATCTCCAGCATCCCGATGTCGACACACTAATTGCACCAGGCGCGTCAGCTGGAGGGTGGAAGAATCGCCTCTGCGAATTATTATAACCACTGATCAGATACACTGATCAGATACTGTAAATATACAAAATTTTGGCGCTGCAAAATTTCGGCACTTCACGATTTTTGACATTTCGGCGGCGATTTATTTTCGGCGTGGGGTAGAGGGCATGGCATAGTGCGACAGATGCTGTGAAAAATTTCGGCGGCGTTTTAATTTAGGCGTTTTGGGTCGGTGCCGAATACAGCCGAAATTAAATAGCTGCCGAAAATTTGTATATTTACAGTATGTGATATATAGAAAGGTTTGGCAAACTGCCAAAGCAGTGCTCTATGTGCAAAGCGCTGACTCAGCCTGAGCTATTTCGCAAACGGAAAAGAGATTGAGGATCCTGGTGGGAAATGTCGTACCTCAAAGTTCCATGCCGAGCTTGTCATCAGATGGACATGATGCATTGCCATTGCTGACATCAAGAGTACGTGAAAGCTAGTGTGTGCAGCTTGGGGATTTTTCTACTATGGGTGTCTGTCACGGCGGAATTCCGTGGTTACATCACATTTGGCGCAGATCTGAGGCTGGAAGTGGCGTAGTGCGTACAACTGAGCTGCAGTTGTGCAGCAAGAGACCCGCTTGAATCCTGCTTGTACGCACCACATCACTAAAAATGATAATCACGGACTAAAAATGATAATCAAGGATTTCCGCCGTGACAGCAACCCATCCGAGCTGCACACTCTGGTTTTCATGTACTCTTGATGACATTTATCACTGCATATCTTCTTAGCATCTTGGTGCTTGCTCGTACAATAAAGGGGCTTCAAGTCCTTGTCATGTGAGTACATTTGTGAAGTTAATACTAGTGATTGATCATGGCATGTGAACATTGCAACCAACATGGCTGACATCATGTGATCCATACATTGAGTGGAGTTTGAACCAACATGGCTGACATCATGTGATCCATACATTGAGTGGAGTTTGAACCAACATGGCTGACATCATGTGATCCATACATTGAGTGGAGTTTGAACCAACATGGCTGACATCATGTGATCCATACATTGAGTGGAGTTTGAACCAACATGGCTGACATCATGTGATCCATACATTGAGTGGAGTTTGAACCAACTTGGCTGCCACATACAGTCTGTATCGGCTATAGAGTGACCGGATATAAGAATACATCGGCTACAGTGATATTGGTACGAAATATCAAAAGCAAAACGTATTTTATCCAGTAAAAATATCACTATAACCAATATTATCGGATGTAAGGATATATCGGATATTATGAT